CTCAAGGCTAGTGCTCTACCACTTGAGCCACAGTGCCACTTCTGGCTTTTTTTCTTTTTGCTTATGTGGTGCTGGGGAATCGAACCCAGGGCCTCATGCATACAAGGCAAGTGCTGTACTACTGAGCCACCTTCCCAGACCTATGTTTGAATTTTTTAACACCGAAAATACTGGTTGCTAATTACATTAACAAATTACTTTTTACTTTGTCCTACTATATAATATTTGGTAGTTTCATAATAGTAGTGCCACCAGGCAAAATGACACATACCTATAATCCCAGCGACTCATGAGGCAGAAGCAAGACAGTCTTGAGTTAGAGGCCCATTTAAGTTAAGTTATTGAGACCTTGTCTCAAAACTACAGGGGCTAGGAATGTGGCTTAATGGTAGAGTGCTTGCCTAGCATGAATGAAGCCCTGGGTTTGATTCCTCAGTACCATATATAAATAGAAAAGGCTGGAAGTGGTGCTGTGACTCAAGTGTTAGAGTACTTGAACAAAAGAAGCTCAGGAACAGTGCCCAGGCCCTGAGTTCAAGCCCCAGGACCAGCAAAAAAAATGATTAAAATAAAATAAAAGGCAAACTAACGAAGTTGGAAACATCTGCCCCACAGAATACCTTTACTAGACAGGATGAAAGGCCAGCCCTCCTTTAGCCTAACACGTGGTCATCAAAAACTGGAGTTACCAGAATAGGAAAAGAAGACAGGAAGATAGTTTTTTTTTGTGCCTGTACTGGGGCTTGAACTAATACTCAGCTTTTTTATTCATGGCTGTACTCTACTATTTGATCCATTTCTCCATTTCCAGCTTTTTGCTGGTTATTTGTCTACCCACGCTAGCTTTGAACCTCAGTCCTTAAATTTCAGCATACTGAGTAGCTAGGATTATAGTCATGAGCCACCAGCACTTGACTAGAAGATAGATCTTTAGGGTAGTAATTATCATAACTGTCTCCTGCAGAAAGCAGCTCTGCATGAAAATAACACATTCTAGAACCTATCACTTGGGGGTTTTTTTGTTTTGTTTTGTTTTTGTTTTTTTGGTCCAGTTGTGGGGCCTGAACGCTGGGCCTGGGCGCTATCCCTCAGCTCTTCAGCTCAAGGCTAGCGCTCTACCACTTGAGCCACAGCGCCACTTCCAGCTTTTTTCTTTTTGCTTATGTGGTGCTGAGGAATCAAACCCAGGGCCTCATGCATGCAAAGCAAGTGCTGTACCACTGAGCTACCTTCCCAGCCCTAGAACCTGTCACGTGGGAACACTGTTCTAAACAACCCAGTTCCAAAGGAGCTTTTGGTACCCAACCTATTTGTTTCTTGTACTTAACAACAGCAAAAACTGGTTTGAGAGTTGTAATTCTTATGTCCACGGACATAGAATACAGGCTGGCCCAGGCCTGTATTGCAGAATTATCTTCCTGGGTCCCAGCTTCCCATCTACTAGCCTACTAGAATTTGACCTTGTTGCTGGTCTGGACTTGCCATCGTCCCTGGAGAGGGGACACAGTTGGGAGCTCCAGAGCCAAGCATTGGGAGTTAGCTCTTATATTGGATAGGAAGACACTCTGGTTAAAAGGGAACTCCAAGCCTGGGCTGACAATGACCTTGCACTCTTGCAGATGGGCTATGTACGTGAATATATTCTGTGGGCAGCATCTAAATCTCAACTTCTAGCACATCAGTTTATCTGGAACATGAAAACTAACATCTACCTAGATGAAGAGGGACACCAGAAAGACCGTGAGTATTTTCTCCTCTCCTTGGGTCTCTTTCCCCATCTTCAACATTTTCAGTGGCTGCCCAAGGCCTTCATGGTCTCGGGGCCTTCTTGCAGTGCTGCCCCCTGGTAGACTACTCTCCTTCCATCCTTCGGTTACTTCTCAGCACTGAACACACAAGGCAGCAGGATCCTCCTTCACAAAGCTTGTGCAACTCCCCTTGCAGATACTATCCTGCAACCCCAGGCTGTGTGAGAGCCCCTGCGTAAGTTGCTGACTGCCTACTCAGAGCTGTCCTTTGACTAGGAGAGGAAGGGCAGCTGGCTCCGGACAGGGGACGGGAAATTCTTAGTATAGTCTCTGGACCTCTCAGACTCTTTAAAACTATTGAGATCCTCAAAAAACTTGGGTTTTTGTGGGCATAGCTAATTAGTATTAACCAGGATTAGAAATTATCTCTGAAGGGCTGGGAAGGTGGCTTAGTGGTAGAGTGCATGTTTAGCATGCATGAAGCCCTGGGTTCAATTCCTTAGTGCCAGAAATGGTGCTGTGGCTCAACTGGTAGAGTGTTAGCCTTGAGCAAAAGAAGCTCAGAGACAGTGCCCAGGCCCTGAGTTCAAGCCCCAGGACTGGAAAAAATAAAATTATCACTGAAGAATGTCTAAATTTAAATCTTACTTATATGTTAACATAAATGGCATCTTTTTTTTTGGGGGGGGGGTCCAGTCGTGGAGCCTGAACTCTGGACCTGGGCACTGTCTTTCAGTTCTTCAGCTCAAGGCTAGCACTCTACCACTTGAGCCACAGCGCCACTTCTGGCTTTTTTTCTTTTTGCTTATGTGGTGCTGGGGAATCGAACCCATGGTCTCACGCATGCAAGGCAAGCGCTCTACCACTGAGCCACCTTCCCAGCCCCATAAATGACATCTTTTGTCTGACAAGAGAAGACAGGTGGATTCTCCTCTGCTTCTGTTCTTAATCTGTTGCTGTATGCTGGATTGAAGTAAATACATGAAATTAGCCTTGCTTGGGCATGCAGATGAAAAATAAAAAGATACTTTAGTCTTTCAGGTAGCTGCAAGTTTTTGTTGATAGATAACAAACTAGTTAAATGCAATTAGTTAAAGGTTAATGGCAATGAGGCATTGGAAACCACTTCAGAGAACTCTGTGCTCTGTTCTAGTCAAGTCTCACAGCCATGCCCCAGGAAGGTTTTGAGGATTGTTATTAGTGCCGGAACCAAACCAAAGGCAAATATTCTATTACTGAGGTATGCCTCCAATCCTGGTCACACTTTTATAACATCTAACAGTGATCATTTATTGTCAACATGTTTCATGGTATAGACACATACTGCATACTCTATACCACATAACGTTCAGTCACTGAAATGTACATACAACACTGTTCCCATGAGATTATAATGGAGCTTAAAAGTTATAGCTGGGTGCTGGTGGCTCATGCCTGTAATCCTAACTACTCAGAAGGCTGAGATCTGAGGATCGCCATGGAAAGCCAGCCCAGACAGGAATGTTCATGAGACTCTTATCTCGAACCACCAAAAAGCAGAAAATGGAGCTGTGTCCCAAGTGGTAGCCTTGAGTGAAAAAGCTACGGATCAGTACCCACACCCTTAGTTCAAGCTCCAATCCACCACTAAAATATTTTAAAATAATTAAAAATAATAAAAATGAAATTCCATTAATAAGAGCTGAAGATATGGCTTAAATGCTAGAACACCAACTAAACAAGTAGAAGGCTCTCAGTTCAAGCCCCAGTACCACCAAAAAAGAAAAAGTCTTGGTAGAATTTAATAAAATTAATGATGATTGTTTCACCAGGGACATTTTCAGATGATACAACTTTTTTTATTTTTTACTGCAAGCAGGCAGCAGTAGTGACCATAATGCACATGGCCACTGCTTTGAGCTCTATGCAGGCACTCTTGTCTTTTCCCACAGTGAAGGGGAAGTTATAGTATATGGTGACCTCTTACTCTGTCCACTGAGGGCATTCCACACAGCACTAGGGCTGATAGCCTAGGCAACACTGATGGGCAGTCCTGAGGTGCCTCTGCAGTGGCCAAAGTGTTATATTGGAACTGGATCAGTGAGATACAGAAAAGCCACATTTTGAGTGGTCAGTTGGGAGTCTATTAGAAAGCCGGTGACTGCAGTCAGACTAGCATCCCAAAGAACCTGCAGCCCCAAATGCAGTTACTACAAAGCTTATAAAGGCAAAAAACACATCAAGGCAGATGTCACATGGTATGAGGACTAGCAAAACTTATTCTACTGAAGCAAGCCGTCTAGAGGGAACAATCAAGTATAAAACTAAGGGCAAGTATTCTCTGAAGCAGAACTTTCATGGAGCTAAACAACTCATGACACACCTACAATTCAAAAAATATCACCTCTATATTGTTTAACAACCTATAACACAGCTGCAGATCAAAGAAAGCCCTATATCATGTCTAGTATTCTTAGAACTGGGTGAAAATTCTCCATCATCTATTAAGATGCCAAAATGGAGATAAGGACAAGATGGCATTATGACTTAGATCCAGTATCCATATTTCAGGTGCTAGGCTCTTTTTTTTTTGTCGGTCGTGGGACTTGAACTCTGGGCCTGGGAGCTGTCCCTCAGCTCTTCAGCTCAAGGCGAGCGCTCTACCACTTGAGCTACAGTGCCACTTCCATATTTCAGTAGGAGCTCAATAGCTTTGTTTCCTCACCAGCTGACATTGGGGATCTCCTGGAACAGTTAGTAGAAGAGATCACAGGCTCCCTGTCTGGCCCCGCCAAGGATTTCTACCAGCGGGAGTTTGATTTCTTTAACAAAATCACCAATGTGTCTGCCATCATCAAGTAAGTGCAGTATTTTAGAAATGTCTTCTAGGGGTGGCTCATTTAATACCTTCCACTTGTTGGAATTGGCCTAGTAGTTTTGTCTGTTTTTTTTTGTGTGTATGTGTGAGTGTGTGTGTGTGTATGTGTGTGTTTGAGGGGGGAAGGAGTCCTGAGGCTTGAACTCAGTGTCTAGGCATTGTCCCTGAGCTTTTTTTGCTCAAGACAAGCACTCTACCACATTGAGCCACAGTTTTCTGGTGGTTAATTAGAGATGAGATTCTCATAGAGTTTCCTGCTCAGGCTGGTTTCAAACTACAATCCTTAGATCTTAGCCTCCCGAGGAGCTAGGATTACAGGTGTGAGCCACCAGTGCCTGGTTAGCCTGGGATCTTTAAAAAATGAGCAAGGGTCCTACAGCCAGGAACCTGAAGACATAATGAACAGCCAGGTAGACAGCTCTGGCTGGGTTATTCAAGGCAACATGCCTGAACACACCATTTTATTTCCTCCCTTGTCCCACAGTTCAGCCACTCACCTTCCCATGAGTTAGCCGAGGCCCTCCACTCATGTGGATCTCACATTGCACTTGGTCCTGCCTCCTTTTCGTGGGACAAGGACACTGGGTCATATGCCAGACAGGAAAGCACAGTTCTTCAGAGCTCTTTGGGTTATCTCTAGTGTATAGTCATTATGAAGCCTTGACTGAGTCTTCAGTGGCCTCTCTGGGCTGTGTGCTGAGTAGAAAAGCAATACTAATAGTTTCTAGCCCACAAAGATAACGGATAGACCCATGTGATAGTCAAGTTTGAGTTACTTTAACAAAATACTTGAGATAAAAAGAGAAAATGGCCGGGAGCCAGTGGTTCACACCTGTAATCCTAGCTACTCAGGACACAGATCTGAGATCTGAGGATCACAGTTCAAAGCCAGCCGGGGCAGAAAAGTCCATGAGACTCTTATCTACAATAAATCACTAGAAAACCAGAAGTGGCACTCTGGCTCAAGTGGTAGAGTGCTTGCCTTGAGCTGAAGAGCTCAGGGACAGCACCCAAGCCCAGAGTTCAAGCCCCACAACTGACAGAAAAAGAAAAAGAAAAACTCAGCACCAAAAAGGAAGCAAAGGGCTGGGAAGGTGGCTCAGTGGTAGAGTGCTTGCCTTGCATGCATGAGGCCCTGGGTTCCACTCCTCAGCACCACATAAGCAGAAAAAGCCGAAAGTGGCACTGTGGCTCAAGTGGAAGAGCACTAGACTTGAGCTGAAAAGCTGAGGGACAACGCCCCAGCACAGAGTTCAGGCCCCACGACCAACCAAAAAAAAGGAAGCAAAGAGGGAAGGGAAAAAGGGAAGGAGGGAAGAAAAGTGATTTTTTTTTTTTTTTTACCAGTCCTGGGACTTGAAGTCTGGACCTGGGTGCTGTCCCTGAGCTTCTTTTGCTCAAGGTGAGCTACAGCACCACTTCCAGTTTTGTTTTTTTGTTTTTGTTTTGGGTCTAGTCGTGGGGCCTGAACTCTGGGCCTGGGCGCTGTCCCTCAGCTCTTCAGCTCAAGGCTAGCGCTCTACCACTTGAGCCACAGCGCCACTTCCGGCTTTTTTCTTTTTTTCTTTTATTTTTTTTGCTTATGTGGTGTTGAGGAATCAAACCCAGGGCCTCATGCATGCAAGGCAAGCACTCTACCACTGAGCCACCTTCCCAGCCCCTTGGGTTTTTTTTTTTTTTTTTGTCTGTCATAGGGCTTGAACTCTGGGCGCTGTCCCTCAGCTCTTCAGCTCAAGGCTAGTGCTCTACCACTTGAGCCACGGTGCCACTTCCAGTTTTCTGAGTGGCTTATTAGAGATAGGAGTCTCATGGACTTTCCTGCCTGGGCTGGCTTTGAACCAGGATCCTCAGATCTCACCCTTCTGAGTACCTAGGATTACAAGTGTGATTACTGGTGCCTGGCTTGAGAAAAGTTGATTTCTTTAGGCTTTTAGTTTTGGAGCTTTTAGCCAAGGGCTAGTCCACTAGCCCTGTTACTTTTGGGCCTGTAGCAAGGCATCACATCATAGTGGGAGCACCATAGAGAGGACGCTGCTTACCTCGTAACAGTCAGAAATCAAGAGAAAGGAGACTGGTGTCCCACAATCCCCTTTAAGGGTAGACCACCAGTGTGCCAAAGAACTTTCCAGGTCAAACTATAACAGAAAGTGCATTTTCTGGCATCATCTTGTAACAGACATATGACTCCAGTTGTCTCTCATCCTTATGCTAAGGTCAAAGGTCTGAGGTCTCAAAGTCACGCAGTGGCTTCAAGTGGTAATCATAGCATTTGAGCCCAGAACTGTGGGATCCCTCAAGACAACCTACCCCTAGTACCTTAGCCAGCAACACATATACCACACACATAAGGGAAAGGCAGAAATAGAAACAGCCCCACATTGGCCCTTGGGGCCTATCTGGGCTTTTCAATGAGGAATGAAAGTCACGTGCACTGGTATTAATGTGTCCTGATGACTTGAGCCTGTCAAGGCCTTCAGGAGTTGCTGGGTATCCAATGAGAAGGGAATCTAGACAGGAGCTGTCCTGGTGTGTCTCCCAGAGGCCAAGGAGACAGCAGAGTATTTCTGTCCTGTTTCTTAGGCCCTACCCTAAAGGCGATGAGAGAAAGAAGGCTTGTCTGTCAGCTCTGTCTGAGGTGAAGGTACAGCCAGGTGAGCAGCCTCTCAGGGCAGTGTAGAGCCAGTGTGGAGACAAGGGTTTGGCCAGCCACACCACACAAATTGGGCTCACAAGTGTCTAGCACCCCAGGAATGGGCTCTTAATGCATGCAATTGTCCTTGTATTGCCTCCATTGTCTTTTTTTAAAAAAGGGATTCTGTGGGGAGAACAAATGAAGGGGTGCTGGAAGAGACATGGAGGCAGGGTGGGAAGCTTCTACGTGGGAGAATGGGACAGGCCCCACACAAGCCCTAGCGTATGTGGCAGCATCTGGGAAGGGGAGGCTTCGAGTAGCTTCCTAGAGGAGCATCTTCTGGGGTGGGTGGTTGTTTATTGGATGTCTAGAAGAATCGGTGAAGGATCACAGAGTTGGGGAGGACAGACCCACAACAAGCCACAGAATAAATCTGGTGCCACAGGAAAGGAGCAGATGTCCCTTGGTACGGCAGGGGTAACTATAGGCAGACTCTGTACGTGAGGTCTGTTCGAAATGGTATGGTCTCCCCCATGGTCATGTGAACTCCCTGTGCCTTCATTCTACCCTCACATAGGCTGCTACCTACCTAGCAACCCAGAGGCCATCGTGCTGGACATCGACTACAAGTCAGGGACACCAATGCAGAGGTAAGTACCTGCTCCTGCCCCACCCCTTCCCGAAGCTGCCTTACACAGGTTTTCCGGGCTTGGGGTTGAACTCAGCACCTCTAGATTGCTAAGCATGCAATCTACTGCAGAGCTACACCCAACCCTCTTTTTCACTGGTTATTGTTTAATATAGTTTTTTATTATTAAGGTGTTGTGCCGAGGGTGTTACCATTTCATAATCACTGGTTATTTTAAATAAGGTCTTACCTCCTACCTATTCATGTGCCTGGACCAAGATTTCACCTATTTGAGGCTTCCCCTACTTAGTAGGATTACAGGAATCAGTCAAAGTAGTTTGTATTTGACTCATCACATGTGCCATATTCCTTTTTTCTTTTTTAGTGCTGCAAAAGCCCCATATCTGGCTAAATTTAAGGTGAAACGATGTGGAGTGAGTGAACTTGAAAAAGAAGGTCAGTGAGCACTTCTGCTTTAGTTGAAGACTCAATGCTTTCCTAGCTAAGGCCAGCTGCGTTAGGCCTACTCCCCCATAAAAGCTGTCTGTTCCTGCATCTGCACATTCAGAGATGGCAGGGAACATATGCAGTGACCAACACGCCACCATGAATATATGTCAATCCAAGTCAGCTGGCCCATCCAGGAAGTTTCCTGTTGAGGCTGAGTAGCATGTGCTTTTCTGGGATACTTTGCAAATCCTCACAGCCTGGGTGTGTGTGGTCTCTGGAGGCAGGGAGTATGGCATCAAGCCAGGCATGTGGGCCCCTAGTCCCTCCAAGACAGGACCATCACCTGCCTTTTCAGCCTGGAGTGGCTTCACAGCCCTTGGTGGTGGTGGTGGTAGCTTTTCCATGGCTTGCAACTGCATCATTCCAGCTCTCCCTATCTTCTTATGGCATCTCCGCCTTAGGTATCAAACTTACTTCAAACTTACTTCTTGTTTTATTTTTTGCCAGTCCTGGGGTTTGAACTCAGGGCCTGGACTCTGTCCCTGAGCTGCTTTTACTCAAGGCTAGCACTCTACCACTTGAGCCCCAGCACCACTTCCCACTTTTTCTGTTTATGTGGTAATGAAGAATGGAACCCAGGGCTTCATGCATGCTAGGCAAGCACTCTATCACCAAGCCACATTCCAAGCCTCAAACTTCCTTCTTACAAGGACACAAGTCATTGAATTAGATACCCATGGCCCACCAGTATGACTTATTTAACTCTACAGAGACTAAATTTCCAATTGAGATTCTGTTTGAGATTTGGGGTATGAATTTAGGGGAGCACAGTTCAATCCAGCACAGAGATCTGGCCATGGTGACCAGTGTGGGGATAAGCCTTCCATGGCCTTGCACAAATTCTGATCCCTGAGTCCTCTCTTTGGCTGACACTGGGACTTGGAAAGGTTGAAAAAGCCCCTGGGCCTATCATTCTGCCAGCTGACTTGTGATGTTTCTTGGGTCCCTTATTCCCCTTAGAGCTTTGTACAAGTGATCCTCAAGATCCAGGTCTCCTCAGAGGCCTCTCACTGGCCCCCAGCTAACAGGCACTGCCTCTGCCCTATCCCCAGGTCTGCGGTGCTGCTCAGACTCGGAGGATGAGTGCAGCAGGCAGGAGGCTGACGGCCAGAAGATCTGCTGGCAAGCAGCCATCTTCAAAGTGGGGGATGACTGCCGGCAGGTAACGGAGCTAGGCTAGCAGAGCAGGCCTTTTTTCCCCCAAAGAAGTGAATCTTATATGGAGAAACAGCCATTTCCCCTCATTTGGTTCAGATGCCATGAAGTTAATTAGGGCTCCTTGCCAAACAGCCCCTGCCTGCCCTTCTACCTCTAATGCCTATCCAGAGGAACATACGAGGAGGGCAGAGCTCCTATTTAATCATATATACCCTTGCAGCGGTGTAGCATCATACCCAGCATGTCAGACTCCAGTTGTGGCCAGCTCCTTCTCTTTTGGACCTTGGCTTCTGTGCTGTATGACCCTTGAGAGCCACTGGAAAGTGTGTAGGCTGCGTTGTGAGGAGGCCGGATGTTAGCATCTCCCCCCATCTCCCTCCCCAGGATATGCTGGCCCTGCAGATCATCGACCTCTTCAAGAACATCTTCCAGCTTGTTGGCCTGGACCTCTTTGTTTTCCCTTACCGGGTGGTGGCCACTGCCCCTGGGGTAAGTTTCCTGAGCAGGAGACTGGCATGAGGCCTGTTTCTTCCCACCCGGCATTCCTCAAGGCTCACTCTTCCATCTTCCTAGTGTGGAGTGATTGAATGTATCCCCGACTGCACCTCCCGAGACCAGCTGGGCCGCCAGACCGACTTTGGCATGTATGATTACTTCACACGTCAATATGGGGATGAGTCCACCCTGGCCTTCCAGCAGGTAGCTACCCTGGTTACCCACCTGTTATCACCTGTCCCTTCCCTCTGCTGCTCCTCAGAGTTCCCCTTCATTAGCTCAAACTAGATCACCCGAGAAGAAAGTGAACCCTTGAGAATGGGAGAAAGGGCCTGGCTTACTGATCCAGGCTCTGCGTCCAAGGTGGGGCACAGCTGGCCCCTGAGCCATCGTGAGCCCACACTTTCCACACAGGCACGCTACAACTTTATCCGAAGCATGGCCGCCTACAGCCTTCTGCTGTTCCTGCTGCAGATCAAAGACAGGCACAATGGCAACATCATGCTGGACAAGAAGGGCCACATCATCCATATCGGTGAGCTGGGCCCCAGCACCACCTCCCTGTCCCCTCACCCCACAGAAGGGGGCAAGCCTGTCATGACCACCTAGCCATGAGGGTCAGGGTGGGCATTGGATTCAATTCTAAGGTCCAAGCTGTTAGCCCTCAGGCCATCCTGCTGTAGAGAGGACCTAGATGGGCAAAAGTAAGCTAAGACATGAGCTCAGGAACGGCAGCCTGAGCTTTGGGGCTCCCACCCCAGTTCCTGCCTCCATTTCCTGCTCCCTCTTCGTGTTCAGCGCTCCCCCACTATCCCCAAGAGAATATAGCCTGCTCATGGTGTTCATGGGATCCCTAGAGCCCTTTTCCTTCTTTGACCCTGCATATCCACCCAGTGACAGGCTTTGGGATTTTGCAGACTTTGGCTTCATGTTCGAAAGCTCACCGGGTGGCAACCTTGGCTGGGAGCCAGACATCAAGCTGACAGACGAGATGGTGATGATCATGGGGGGCAAGATGGAGGCCACGCCATTCAAATGGTTCATGGAGATGTGCGTCCGAGGCTACCTAGCAGTGCGGTAAGCCCTGGGGCAATGTATGGAGGGCATGAGGAACAGTGGGGACAGCCCTTTGATGCTGGCAAAGAGCATGCTCAAGCACCCTGGAGAATTAAGTGGAGAGAGAGAACCCCTTGTCTCTACCTTCTCTTGGCTTCCCTGTGCAAGTCACCTCTATCTGGGCTTTCAGCCACATCCTCCAGTCTCCCAGAACTCATTTGCCTGACACCCCCTCAGCCTTAGGCTTCCTCTTCTGGGCATCCCGTCCACCATTGCATCATAGTGCATGTCACTTAGCCAAGACCACACACGGTGTGTGGTACTCAAGTACTGTTGTCATGAATGACAGAGGACTCCACTGCTGGAGTCCTCACATGTGGGATAGGGCAGGAGCACTCAGCCCTGGTGGTGGGTCAGTGAATAGCCCCAGCAAAGCCATGTAAAGGGCTGGGGGCCCAGAACACACATGTGGGTGTCTTGGAGGGAGAGGCAGGAGTAGCAGGCTCAGGCTGGCCTGTCTTCTCTTCATCCCTCCACATCTCTCCACAGACCCTACATGGATGCAGTCGTCTCTCTGGTCACGCTCATGTTGGACACAGGCCTGCCATGTTTCCGAGGCCAGACAATCAAGTTGCTGAAGTAGGTTGCTCAGTGGATGTGCAGGCCGCATGGGGAAGTTGCCCATGGCTGAGACTACCCAGACATGGGAGCCTGCTATGTGGTTGTAACTGATAGCCATGTCCTTGGAAACCAAGATGGTCACCAACCATATTTGCAAACCATATTTGCAGGACTGTCCCAACCATGTGCTTTTAGTTTCTCAAGGATGTGGGGGGCGGGGCACCAGCCCCAGGCCCTGGGGCTGCAGTAGCTTAGCTTCCTTAAAGCTTAGTCTTCTTCACAGGGCCACTCAGGCCTGGAACATGCTGAGAAACCAGGTACTGTTCTCAGCTTTTGGGAAACAGACTGTGGTAGGTGCCATTCTAGGCCATAGCCCTTAGCTGGAAACATTTCCACAACCACTGAAGTCCAATGCACAAGCAGGACCTCCCCCTGAGAGAGGCATCAGTGGCAATGCAGCCCTACTCTTCTCTCCCCAGACACAGGTTTAGCCCCAACATGACCGAGCGGGAGGCGGCAAATTTCATCATGAAGGTGATCCAAAGCTGTTTCCTCAGCAACAGGCAAGTCACATCCCTGCCCTCTTACTTGGTCACAAAGTACTGACAGGATTGGGCGCGGAGCAGGTGACAAGGCTCCTGCTGTCCCTGAGCTGCTCTTCTTGTGGAAGACCCATGATTACTTGAGCCTTAGTGAGAGTTGTCAGGGGGCAACAGGTGCTGGTTTAGAGCACCCAGGGGAGTGCTGAGGGGAACACTTAGAAGTGAAAGGCAGGAAGCCAGAAAGAAGACCCAGAATTGCAAGGCCAAGAGCAGGGGAGGTGCTGGCAGCTTCTCCTGCAGGGTTTAGGAGTCAGCCCTCATCTACAGAGGCTGAAGTGGCTGGTACAAACAAGAGGAAGGCAGCTCTGACAGGTGAGAAAGTGAGCAACTCTAGGAATCTGGGGCTAATCCACAGAGGGAGCCCCTAAATACAAGGAAAGGAGGCTGAGCCACTCCATCCCTAAAGTAAGAGGCTAGCGGGTGGCCATCTTGCCTAAAAGGGTTGCTGGGTAAGCTAGGCACCAGTAGGTCACTCCTGTAATACTACTACTCAGAAGGCTAAGATCTGAGGATCATGGTTCAAAGCCAGCCCAGGCAGGAAAGTCCATGAGACTTTTTTTTTTTTTAATCAGTCATGGGGCTTGAACTCTGGGCTTGGGCGCTATCCTTGCACTCTTCAGCTCAAGGCAAGCGCTCTATCGCTTGAGCCACAGCGTGACTTCCGGTTTTCTAGTGGTTTATTGGAGATAAGAGTCTCCTGGACTTTCCTGCCCAGGCTGGCTTTGAACCACGATCATCAGATCTCGGCCTCCTGAGTAGCTAGGATTACAGGCGTGAGCCACTGGCGCCTGGCTCCATGAGACTCTTTTTATTTGGTGGGGGGGGGGGGGGTCCAGTCATGGGGCCTGAACTCTGGGCCTGGGAGCTGTCTCAGCTCTTCAGCTCAAGGCTAATGCTCTACCACTTGAGCCACAGCGCCACTTCCGGCTTTTTTCTTTTTGCTTATGTGGTGCTGAGGAATCAAACCCAGGGCCTCAGGCATGCAAGGCAAGCGCTCTACCACTGAGCCACCTTCCCAGCCCCTCCATGAGACTCTTATCTCCAATTAACCACCAGAAAACTAGAAGTGGCACTGTGGCTCAAGTGGTAGAGCGCTCACTTTGAGCTGAAGAGGTGAGGGACAGAGCCCAGGCCCAGAGTTCAAGTCCCATGACCAACAACAACAAAAAAATGCCTGAGCTGGGCACTGGTGGCTCACGCCTGTAATCTTAGCTATTCAGGAGGCTGAGATGTGAGGATCGTGATTCAAAGGCAGCCTGGGCAGGAAAGTCTGTGAGACTCTTAACTCCAGTTATCCACCAGAAAACCAGAAGTGGCATTGTAGCTCAAGTGGTAGAGCATTAGCCTTGGGCTGAAGAGCTCAGGGAAAGTGCCCAGGCCCAGAGTTCAAGCTCCACAGCCACTACCACCACCAGCAACAACAAAAAAAGCCTGAGCCTGAGAGGAAAACAGAGAAGTTTCCCTGACTGCCCACAAGATCTGCTGCCCTAATCAGGGCAGTGTAAAAAGGGCAGAGCAGGCTCAGCAGGCTACTAGGCACAGAGAAGACAGAAGTGGAAGCTCAGAGCCATCATGAGAACACCAGGGGAAATGGCCAATGACATCTCTTAAGGGTATGAAGGCGGTCTGAGAAACAGAACAAGTGAGGGTCTAAGATGTAGTAAAACAGGTCCAGGCTGAGTGAGAAGGCTGAGAATATGAAGGGGGCCAGGTTGAGGTCCAGGAGCTAGGTGGCAAAGGAAGATGGGTAGGGCTGGGAAGATGGCTCAGTGGTAGAGCGCTTGCCTTGCATGCCTGAGGCCTTGGGTTCGATTCCTCAGCACCACATAAGCAAAAGGAAAAAAGCGGGAAGTGGCTCTGTGGCTCAAGTGGTAGAGCACTAGCCTTGAGCTGAAGAGTTGAGGGACAGCGCCCAGGCCCAGAGTTCAGGCCCCACGACTGGACCCAAAAAAAAAAAAGGAAGACGGGTAAACCTTTCATTATGTCCCCTTGGTCTTCCAGGAGCCGGACCTACGACATGATCCAGTACTATCAGAATGATATCCCCTACTAAGGAGGGACTTTCTGAAGTCCAGCCCCTCTGCCCTGAGCCACCCATTCTGAAGCCTCCTCAATCATGGAGCCTGTGAGCACTCCCACCCCTTGATGCCCCAAGAGGCCCCACCTTGTGGTCACTGGGTGAGCTGCCTGCAGCCCCATCATCTCACCCAGCAGGGTTGTTTTATAGTAAAAAGAACTGCAGCCCTCAGCAGCTGAGCTGCTCCCTAGGCGTGGCATGAGTGTGGCAGTGCTTCGGTGACACCAGAGAGACTGAGTCGACAATCGTGATGGTGCTGTCTGCGCACAGGTGTGAAATTGTCTGCACTGGACACGCTCCCTGCCTGTCTTCTTACATAGGTACATGAAGTATTTTCTTGTGTATAAGAAAAAAATGCAACTTAATATTTAACCAATGTGTACAAAATAAAAACCCCAAAATGTGCTGTATTGGAAAGTGCCTGGCTGGGTTAATGGCACGCAGCGGGTAGAGTGGGTGAGGATGGTTCCTAGCCAAATGCCCATGTCTTCTTCAGGGCCAAGGACCTCACAGTCCAGGCTGTGATTATGTCTTAAATTTCACACAGACCTATCAAAAATAACTAAGTCAGATGCTAGTGGCTCACACTTGTAATCCTAACATCTTAGGAGATTTGAGGATCAAGGTTCAAAGCCAGCCTGGGTAGAAAAGTCTGAAAGATTCCATCTCAGACAAAACACACTGTGGACAGCACAGTGCTAGACTGGAGAAATGGCTCAAGTGGTAGTTGTTCTTGAGGCCCTGAGTTCAAACCCCGGTATCACCAAAAAAATTATTCAGAAGAAAATGTAACAAATGTCTGAATTACATTTGAATGTCATGACAAATGTCTCAATGAATTGTGTGTGTGTGTGTGTATGTATGTATGTATGTTTGCATGCCAGTCGTGGGGCTTAGATTCAAGCCTGGGCCTGTCCCTGAATGTTTTTGTTGAAGGACAGCACTCTACCACTTGAGCTACACCTCCACTTAATTGTAGATAACTGTGGATTTTCCTGCCTGGATTGGTTTTGAAAGTCCATTTTCAGATCTCAACCTCCAGAGCAGCTAGGATTACAGGCATGAGCCACCAGCACCTAGCTAAGAATAGATTCTTTAAAACTCAAAACACATGAGTCCATAGACAAATTTAATTTCTATCACCCATAATTTTTTTTAAAATTAAAAAATGAGGGCTGGGAAGGTGGCTCAGTGGTAGAGCACTTGCCTTGCATGCTCAAGGCCCTGGGTTCGATTCCTCAGCACCACATAAGCAAAAAGAAAAAAGCCGGAAGTGGCGCTGTGGCTCAAGTGGTAAAGTGCTAGCTTTGAACTGAAGAGCTGAGGGATAGTGCCCAGGCCCAGAGTTCAGGCCCCATGACCGGACCCAAAAAAAAAAATTAAAAAATGAAATGTCTACAGAGAAGGCAAGATAGCCTCTGTAAGCTGAGCTTTTGGGAGGTATAGGCAAGAAAATGTCAATTTAGCCTGGGCAACACATAGAGACCTTGACCCTGAAAAACAAAAGTAGGCTAAGGGCATGGTTCAAGTGATCTAAGAGCACCTGACTAAGACAAACAAGACCGCGAGTTCAAACCCCAGAATCTAAATAAAAAATATCCATCAGCATTTGTGTCAGATGAAACCCTGTACCTGTGGCTCATGTCTATAATCCTAGCTACTCAAGAAACTGAGAGCCGGGCGCTGGTGGCTCACGCCTGTAATCCTAGCTACTCAGGAGGCTGAGATCTGAGGATCGAGGTTCAAAGCCAGCCCGGGCAGGAGAGACCGTGAGACTCCTATCTCCAATAAACCACCAGAAAACCGGAAGTGGCGCTGTAGCTCAAGTGGTAGAAGCGCTCGCCTTGAGCTGAAGAGCACAGGGACAGCGCCCAGGCCCAGAGTTCAAGCCCCACGACCGACAAAAAAAAAAAAAAGAAAGAAACTGAGATCTGAAGATCATGGTCTGAAGACAGCCCAGGCATTTATCTCCAATTAACCACCAAAAAGTTGGAACTGGAACTGTAGCTCAGGTGATAAGAGGCTTGCATTGAGCAAAAGAGGTCAAAGATAGTGCCTAAGTTATGAGTTCAAGCCTCAAGACTGGCACACACACACAAAATTGACTGGTAAAACATACCTAAAATATGAAAACATTTGAGAAGTAGGAAAAGATAACTTGTGGTCAGTATGCTTTTTTGACTGTGATAGTTAACCTCTGAATATTGATGTACTTGTAAATAATAATGTCAGACTCCATTTTCTAGCAAGTATTAATGCTTAACATCTGAGAAAAACCTGGGACTGGGAATGTGGCTTACTGGTAGAGTGCTTACCTTGCATGCATGAAATCCTGGGTTTGATTCCTCAGTACTACATACACAGAAAAGGCTAGAAGTGGTGCTGTGGCTCAAGTGGTAGAGTGCTAGCCTAGAGCAAAAGAAGCTCAGGGATAGTGTCCAGGCCCTGAGTTCAAGCCCCAGGACTGGCAAAAAACCTGATCTGGAGACGTGGCTCAAGTAGTAGAGTACCAGCCTTGAGCAAAAACAGGACAGTTCCCTGGTCGCCAGTACCAGCGTGTATACACAAAGCAAAAAACATTCCACATAACAAAATCAGCTCGTGTCAGTAATCCTACTCACTCAGGATACTAAGATGTTCAAAGCCAGCCCAGGCAGGAAAAGTCCATAACTCCATGAGACTCTTTATCTCCAGATAACTATCATAAGGCTTTTAGTGGAGCTTTGTTTCAAGTGGTAGAGCACCAGCCCACACACACACACAATTTTCCACAAAACAAAACATTCATTTTTAAACAATCTACTGTGGCTCAGACCTGTAATGCTACCTCCTCAGGAGGCTGAGATTAGAGGGTGCAGATTCAAAGCCAGCCCAGGCAGGAAAGTTCATGAGACTCATCTGCAATTAACCACTAAAAACAAATCTGGAAATGAAGCAAAAGCACATCAAGGACAGCACCCAGACCCTGGGTTCAAGCCCCCAACTAGCTAAATAAATAACTACATCGCCCAGGCACACAGGAAAGGATCCATAGAGACATACCCAGCCGCTGAAGAATGAGAACTACAGAACTCCTCTCAGCCTACAACTTGGGATAAAGGTTGGTGGCCTCCATGCAACAGCGGAGGTGTGGGGCCTGGCACCGCTACCCGACTCGGGCCTGCTGAGCTTAGGTGCTAGGGACGGTGGCTGGGTCCCATGGGACACGGAGGCCCCATCGCGGCCACCCCCTACGCACGCCCCAGAAACCACACGGACACTGAAGTCCAGACAGCAGGCATGATGTGCGTTAGGCAGGCAGCAGACCGCGCACGCGCAGTTCGAGCAGCGGGGACAGCGTGTAGCGCAGCCGTCGGAAGGCGACCTCCGAGCTGAGGTGCGGGAGGCCCGGCAAGTCGGGCCTCGTCAGCACCATGTAGAGCAGCGGCAGCGCCAGGAAACCGAGTGGGAGCAGCAGCAGTGTCTGCAGCGCGCTCAGTGCCCACAGCCTGCCAGGGACCGGAGGACAGACAGACAGACGGGCAGATGGGCGGCGGCCAGGAGAGGCACCAAGAGGGGGAACTGGAGCCCGCGCACCCTCCGCTGGGCTCACCTGATGCTCCCCACGCCTAGCAGTCGCTTCTCCTACAAAGAAGGAGCAACGTCCAGGTCTCTCCTGGAGAGGCTGAATCCCGCTCCAGCCCCGAGCCCGCCCGACCCGGCCGGCGCTCACGCAGTCCGCCCTGGCCACCTCTTCCATGAGCGAGCCGGTACAGGCCTGCGCCCGACGGGGCTGCGAGCTCCACCTGCAAGGCAGGTACTGGAGGTGAGCCACCTGCCACGGGCCCCACCCGCGTCCGCACCCCTCATCCCGCTCTTCCAGCTCCCTTACACTTCCGGGCCTCCTCGCGAAGCCTCCAGCGCAGCCGCCGCCTCCATCACCTTCCCCTGCAGCTCCTGGAGGAACGGGAGTGAGGAGTGGGCCACAGTGCATACAGAAGTGACTGGGTGGCTCACGCCTGTAATGCTGCCTACTCAGGAGGTTGAACTCTGAGGATCATGGTTCAAAGCCAGCCTAGGCAGGTAAACTACATGCAACGCTTTTCTCAATTCATCACCACCTTCGGCTCCAGTGGTAGAGCACCAGCTCTGAGCGAAAAAGCTAAGGGACAGACTCCAGGCCCTGAGTTCACACACACACACACACACACACACACACGAGTTCTCAGGGAGGCACACCTGCAAAACCCCGCTCTGCTCCTGGAAGCTGGCCCACGCCTCTTCGGTCCGCTGTGCGCCCTAGGGGTACGAGGAGTCTTGATTAAACGTGAGGGGCCCCCTTCCCTCCACAATCTAGCTCTGAAGCCTGCCCTCCCCACAAGACCCCAGCTCCTCTCACCTGCTGCAAGGCTTCAGCTTGCCTGGTATACTTGGCCTCCGCCAACTCCAGCTGTTTCTTCCGAAGGATCCAAGAAATGTTAAAAGCCAAACGGGCGGTTCCGGGGCCTCAGAGCCGCGCCCAGCTCGACGCTCCGCGGCCGCGCCCACGGCTCCGCCCTCGCCCCCTCCTGAGCCCCACCTCAGTACCTGCAACGCTACCAGTTGGGTCCCTAGTTGTTGCTCCGCGCGCTGCTGGCTCAGCTGTTCGCCTCCGTAGTAAAAGAGCTGGGGACCAGGCTTGTGAGTCCAGGGCTCACGGGGCACCTTAAGGGACAGGGGACCGGACGGGCGATAGAAGCTGCCCCAGCCCCTGACTTACCTGACTGGACAGCTCCTCCCACTGCTCCTGCAGCATCTGGTTGTGAAGCTCCTGAGAGGAGAATCAAGAGCCGGGTGGGATCTCTGCCCGCCCCGCCCCCTGGCCCCGCCCCGCTCCGCCCCCCGCAGGCCCGGGCCCCGCCCCCACCAGATCTTGTTTGCGCCGCTCCTCCTCCTCCAGCAGTCCCCGAACCCGCTCCACGCGCTCCCGCGCCGCCTCCCGCGCTTCCCCTCGTAGCGCCCGCGTCGCTTGGCTGCGCCTCCGCTGCAGACTACGGATGAGAACTTAAGAGTGCTGCGGGCAGGGTGCGGGGCGCTCAGGATCCCGCTGCTGGTCCTGCCCCGCCGGTGCTACGGACAGGACCTGCCTCCCACACCACCGTTGGGGTGTCGGACCCGGCCCTCCCTCCCCCTAGGAGGACTGGCCCAGTCCCGATGGCCACGAGGGGTGGGCCCGACACTCTGGGATGCCCCGCCCCCGACTCCGCACCGTCCGGGGCAGGGCCGGTTCTCACGCACGCGCTGCCCCTCACCCCGCCCCGAGCGCTCGCTGCGCACCTGCGCTCGTGCTCGCGCAGGTCCTGGAGGCGCGCGGTGAGGCTCTCGCTCTCGGCCTCCAGCCCGCGCACCAGTTCCTCCAGCTCCTGCTTCCGCAGTCGCCCGTCCCGGTTGTCCTTCTGCAGCTGCAGCAGCTGCTCCTGGGGCTCAGCCATGATTCCAGAGCTCTACAGAGTCTTTCCTGGCTCTTCTCCGGTCTCTCGCTGGGGAAACCGACTCACTGTCGGCGTCACAATGGACGCCAGAGGGCGCCCCAACTCACTCGCTCCGCCCACCCCCAGCCGAACCCGACGCGGGCCAAGCCGGATCACAGATCAGCATAAAATGTTATCAAAGAACGACAATTAGGCCGGCGCTGTGGCTCACGCCTGTCATCCTAGCTACTCAGGAGGCTGAGATCTGAGGATCGCGGTTCAAAACCAGCCCGAGCAGGAAAGTCCGTGACACTCTTTTCTCCAATAAACCATTAGAAAACCGGAAGTGGCGCTGTGGCTCAAGTGGTAGAGCGCTCGCCTTGAGCTGAAGAGCTGAGGGACAGCGCCCAGGCCCAGAGTTCAAGCCCCACGACCCACAGAAAAGAAAAAAAAAGTTAATGAAAGCCCAGTGAAAGGTTAATAAACTGCTCATATCAAACGCACGTAAACCAAAGCAAGATTAGTTTCCCCATATGCAAATGGTACTTGATAAACCTTTCTTTCTTCTGGAAAAAAAACTATTAAGAACCAGAAATATGTCCGTGTCTTTTTTTTTTTTTTTGGTCGGTCCTGAGGTTTGAACTCTGGGCCTGGGCGCTGTCCCTCAGCTCAACTCAAGACTCGCGCTCTACCACTTGAGCCACTGCGCCACTTCCAGTTTTCTGGTGGTTTATTGGAGATAAGAGTCTCACGGAACATTGGGACATGTGCAGCCTCAAGGGGTGTCTGTAGTGGACTTTGTGCGGTTTGAATGTGGAGAAAGTGAAGAGACAGTAGAAGCAGAATAGGTTCCAAGCACTTTGGGCCTAGAATGTAATAATTACTCAAGTTATTTCCTAAGCATCTTTACCCCCAGAATTTGTTTTTCTGGTGAATTTATAGTGAAATTACATGCTCATGAGTAAGCTTATTAAATAAATACAAGAGTATAAAAAAAAAAGCCTCACGGACTTTCCTGCCCAGGCTGCCTTTGAACCATGATCCTCAGATCTCAGTCTCCTGAGTAGCTAGGATTACAGGCGTGAGCCACCAGCACCCGGCTCTCTCTCTCTTTTAAAATAGGATTTCACCTGTGTAGCGCAGACTGGCCTCTGATCTCAGTCCTCCTGCCTCAGCTTCCCAGGTGCTGGAATTATAGATGGGCTCACACAGGCCCACCTTGTTTTTTGTTTTTATTGTCCATCCTGGGACTTGAACTCTGGGCCTGGGCACTGTCCTCAGTTCTTCAGCTCAAAGTGAGCGCTCTACCACTTCAGCCACTGGGCCACTTCTGGTTTTCTGGTGGTTTATTGGAGATGAGAGTCTCATGGCCTGGGCTGGCTTTGAACTATGATCCTCAGATCTCAGCCTCCTGAGTAGCTAGGATTACAGATGTGAGCCACGGGTGCCCAGCCAGGCTGCCTTTGAACTGTAATCCTCAGATCTGTCACCTTAGTCAGGATTACAGGTGTGAGCTACAGGTGCCCAGCTTGACTGACTGAATTTTGTGGTGCTGGGAATAGAACTCAAGGCCTTGACACATATCAGGCAAGCTACTACCATTGAGCTGTATCGTTGGTTCCTGAGAAATGCTGTTCTTTTCTTTTTCTTCCCTAGGTTCAAGACCACTGCATGAACTCGGTACCTGCAGCCATTTTCACTCCTAGGCTAGTGCTCTACCAACTGAGTGACACTTCCAACACCAGAACTTTGTGGGGGGAGAGGAGGTTGTTTTTTGTTTTTTTACAATGCTGAGGCTTGAACTCAGGGCCTTGGCACTGTCTGTGAGCTTCTTTTTCACAAGGCTAGCACTCTACCACTTAAGCCATAGCACCAATTCTGGATTTTTCTGTTTATGTGGTGCTGAGGAGTCAAACCCAGGGCTTCATGCATGCTAGGCAAGCACTCTACTACTAAGCCACATTCCCAGTCCAGAATTTTGTTCTTTTTTTTTTGTCTTTTTTTGTTGTTGTTGGTCATGGGGCTTGAACTCTGGGCCTGGGCGCTGTCCCTGTGCTCTTCAGCTCAAGGCGAGCGCTCTACCACATGCCACAGCACCACTACCGGCTTTCTAGTGGTTTACTGGAGATAAGAGTTTCACAGACTAGGGCTGGGAAGGTGGCTCAGTGGTAGAGCGCTTGCCTTGCATGCATGAGGCCCTGGGTTCGATTCCTCAGCACCACATAAGCAAAAAGAAAAAAGCCGGAAGTGGCACTATCGCCAAGTGGCAGAGCGCTAGCCTTGAGCTGAAGAGCTGAGGGACAGCGCCCAGGCCCAGAGTTCAGGCCCCCCGACCAGACCCAAAAAGAAAAAAAGTCTCACGGACTTTCCTGCTCGGGCTGGCTTTGAACCACCATCCTAAGATCTCAGCCTCCTGAGTAGATCTTGGGGAGCAACCATTTAGGTTCTGTCATTTCTCTTCCAGATGAATATTAAATTTACTTAGATTTTTTTGTGTGTGTATCAGTTGTGGGGCTTGAAATGGTGTGGGTGTTGTCCCTGAGCTTATTCACTGAAAGCTAGCATTTTATCACTGTGTGCCACAGCACCACTTCCAGTTTTCTCATGGCTAATTGGAGTTAAAAGTCTCACAGACTTTCCTACTCAGGCTGGCTTTGAACCACCATCCTCAGATCTCAGCCTCTATAGTAGCTAGGATTACAGACATAAGCCACTGGCACCCAGCTAGACCTTTATTTATTTTGTTGTCGGTCCTGGAACTTGAACTCAGGCACTGGGCACTGTCCCTGAGCTTTTATGCTCAAAGAGCCACAACTCCATTTCTGGCCTTCTGGTGGTTAATTGGTGATACAGTCTCACGGATTTGCTGCCCAGGCTGGCTTCAAACCACTATCTTCAGATCTCAGCCTCCTGAGTAGTTAGCCATGAGCTACCAGTGCCCAACTTTAGAGCTATTTCAAACAGGGTCTTCTGCTGTGTAGCAAAGGCTGGCTTAGAACTCTCCATCCTCCTGCCGCAGTGTCTGGAGTCCTCAGATTACAGACACAGGTGTAAAAAAGCACATTTGTGATACCTATTAGAGGTGAAGAATGGATACTTTCCACTATTTAATTATCTGCCTTGGGAACAAAACATTTCTGTCCATTTATATGAACTGAATATGAAATGACCATCAGTGTCATGTGTTGAACACTTGGTCCCCAACCGGTGGTGCTATTTTGGGAAACTGTAGACATTTTAAGAAGAGCCTTACTGGAGGAAACCACTACAGGCATTAACTTGTGTATGTATATATGCCCATACGACACCCACAAAACCACAAATGTGCATGCCAATATTGGGGTTTGAACTCAAAGCCGCATATTCTTGCGCATCTTGCTTGATTACAGCTGATCCACTACCACTTGTGTCTTGCCTTTAGTCCAGCATTCTACTAATTGGAGATCAAGTCTCAAGACTTTTCTTCTCTAGGCCGGCTTCAAAATTCAATCCTCTCAAGTCTCAACTTCCTAAGTAGGCAGTATTACAGGTGTGAGGATCACACTTGTGTTTTCTAAAGGCCATTGTGGCATACAGGTGGTAGAGGCTGAGCTGTGTCCCTTCAGATTCACATGTCCTTTGATTTAGTTAGAATGTGACTTATTTGGAGACAGGGTCTTTCCAGAAGTAATCACAATTTTAAGAGATAGGAATTTGGGTATGGCTTGGAAGTACAGAGGAGAGTCCAGCGTTCCATCCCCAGCATTGCACAAAAGAAAGCCCCATTCTTCTAAAGTGGCCAGAGCTGCCACATACCCCCTCTGTGGGCACAGAGGTGGTAGAATTACCAACTGTGTTAGGAGTTAGTCACCAAGTGCCAGGTGTTCTAGATGCCTCTGTCTGCATGACTCCTGGAGTCCCACTTGATCGCCTCTTCTCTCAGCTGCTGCCTGTACACCCTACTTCCAGGGCTGCAGCATTCCAAAGTCCTCATCATACCCCACTGACAGGCATCAGGATGCTTTGCTACAGGTGAGAAAACTGAAGCTCAGCATGAGCAGGCAGTCACAGCAGGGCTGCCCATCTGTACCCACCTGAGAAACGTGGAGCATTTGAATCCCTGAAGGTATGGAGAACAGTTCAGATGGCAGCCTCAGGTCACACAGATCACAGCCTAAATGTGGATAGGAAAGCCAGCGTGGAATGCCTGGTTCCACATCAGGAAGATGATGGGCAGGAAGCCCAGGAACAGAAACTCTTAACCTTGGTAACGTCACATTCTACCTGGAACTGCATGGGCCCCACCCTGCCTCACAGCCCACTGGGGTGACCCTGAAGCCCCTCTCTAACATTACACAGATACACCCACAGCTTTCCTGAAGGCTGGGGAATTTGTGTGTGTGTGTGTGTGTGCGTGCGAGAGACAGAGAGAGACAGAGACAGAGAGACAGAGAGAGTGTGTGTGTGCTGGTCCTGGGGCTTCAACTCAGGGTCTGGGCACTGTCTCTGAGCTTCTTGTGCTCAAGGCTCAGTCAGCACTCTACCACTTGAGCCACACCTCCACCTCCACTATTTTCTTCTTCCTCCTCCTCCCCCTCCTTCTCTTCTTCGTAGACATTTCTTGTAAGTAGTCACATGGACTTTCATGCTTAAGTTGGGTTTGAACCTTGATCCTCAAATCTCAGTCTCCTGAGTAGTTAGGATTACAAGTACAAGCCATCGGCAACCAGCCGCTTTAATCTTTTGCTGGTTAGTTCGAGATAACGTCTTAGACTTCTCAGACTTCTCCTCAAATCTCAGATTTCTGAGTTTCTAAGATTACTAGTATGAGCCATCCGTGCCTAGCTTCATTCATCATAAGAAAAACATGCTTTTGGTCATGGGGCTTGAACTCAGGGCCTAGGCACTCACTGTTCCTGAGCTATTTTGCTCACTCAAGGCTAGCACTGTACCACCGTGAGCCACAGTGCCACTTTAGTTTTCTGGTCATTAATTAGAGATGTCTCCTGGACTTTCCTACCCAGGCTGGCTTTGAATCATGATC